GGCAGAGGGCCGCAGGTATGGCAGAGCTGAGCAGCACTGGGGTGGGAGAGCCCAGGGATTATGTCTGGGATCCTGAGAACTTTGCTTGTCCTCAAGACTCACGCGTGATGGATTGGCTGTGTTTAGGGTGAACTGGGGACCCACTGAGAAGGCTACAGGGACTGTGGTGACACGGGAAGGCAGAATGAGCAAAACCACCCCAGATGGCATGGTTCTGTATGGTCCTGCTCTTGTGTTGAAAACAAATCCACACTGTGGGGCATTTCCCATCCTGCAGGGACATCTGGGATCAGGCTGCTCCCCTCTGTCTCCATGTACGACAGACAGACCCAGCCTGCCTGTGCATCTTGTCTGGGGCTCCAAAGTCTGGTTTATCAAAGAAGGGTGCAAATATAAGGTTGGAAGGGATCAGAGACAGTGTCAGGTTCCTGGAGACCCTCTCAGGCTTGTTCAGGCTGGGGTTCAAAACCTGCCCATCCCACCAAGCACCTACTGCCATAGTCAGTGCCCATCAAGCAATGTACGAGAACCAGCCACAAGCTGAGGTCATGGCTCCGGCAGCACAGCTGCTGCCCTGGCTCTCTGCAAAACTGATCAGGTTGTGTGGGACCACTGACACCCTTCGGCACTCATTCTCAGGCCAGACCTGCCCCTCCCAGGGCTGTCACTGTGCTGAGTTGGGACCTGACCTTCTGTTGTCACCAGATCTGTCTGTGCCCATCACCAGGACTCAAGCCTACTCAGAGAAGTAACAGTTGGAGTGGGCCCTTGGCACTCAGATGGGGAAAGCTCATTGTTGCAGTCACTACAGGCAAAGAAATGGCCCCGAGACATTGTCATGTGCCATCACATCTCCTCCCCAACATGCCCTGCCCTGGTCCAGCTTCTGCTGGAGAACAGGACCCACAGGGCTCTTGGGTGCAGCACCTGGCTGCATCCTGCACTCTGGGTGGCTGGATTAGCCTCTCCTGCTTCACCTGATAGTGGCTGCAAGTTGGAGTGACTCCAGCATGGGCTGGGGGATGGATGTGGGCCTGGATGGGCTGGCACAGCCCCCACTGCCAGGGCTGTGAGGTGAGTGGGTTTGAGGCCACTGCTGCCACCAGTCATCCCGCTCTGTCCTGATGCTCTGTGCCCTGCTGGCACCGTGGCAGTCAGGTCCCCAGTGTCAGTGCCCTTGCGCAGGGTCTGCAGAGGCACGGGGGTCCCTGGACACTCATGGACAACTTGGCTGTGCACACCCCTAGCAGGGGACCCTGATGGTACCACAGAGTCCTTTGGGTGCAGGCCTGGGGTGATGGACTTGCACCCTGGGTATCTTGCCAGGCACAGCTCTAAATCTGCGAGTTACAGCCCAGCACAAAGACCCGGCGTTTGCTAAAGGAGATGGGCAGCTCCTGCTCTCCGCACTGTCTCTCCTGCTCAGCAAGCAGGAGCTGCTCATCTCTGGAGGTCTCCTACCCCAGCCTCTCGCTAAATGAACTGTTTGCCCTGTCCCTATCCTCCACCTCAGGCTCTTGATGTCGTAGCCAGGCAGAAAGAGGACTTGCAGAGGGGCAGGAATATGGACCTGTGTTTGCCCAGGCAGGCAGGCTTAGTGCCCTGGGTGAGGACAGGAAGGAAAGGGTGATGTCCCCAGACCAGACCCCTTCCTGAAGAGGCTCTGTCATGGCCTGGCTCTGAGCTGCTCATGGACTCCCTGGCCATGTCCCTGCAGGAGATCCCCAGGGTGGCACCAGTGACTGGAAGCACCAGGGTGCCCCTGGGACAGCTCGGTCCCCAAAGGAGGTGAGAAGGATGATGGGATGCTGGGGCTGCTGAAGGACAGGCATGGCACCGCGCCGGGGTGGGTGTGCTCCTGGTGCGGTCCTGCTTGGCTCTGAGCTGCTCATGGACTCCCTGGCCATGTCCCTGCAGGAGATCCCCAGGGTGGCACCAGTGACTGGAAGCACCAGGGTGCCCCTGGGACAGCTCGGTCCCCAAAGGAGGTGAGAAGGATGATGGGATGCTGGGGCTGCTGAAGGACAGGCATGGCACCGCGCCGGGGTGGGTGTGCTCCTGGTGCGGTCCTGCTGCTGATTCTAAGCATGGGCAGGAAGGAGGCTCCAGGGTTTCTCTGTTCACCTGGGACCCAGCACCAAGGACCCTCCAGCCTGGGTGGGGGGACACGGCCAGGCCAGAGCTAAACCTCCAGCGGTCAGCGGTGAGAGGGGAATCAACCCTGCAGCCCAGGAGTCAACGTCCAGCCATTCTGTACAGGACCGTGCCAGCGTTTCAGGCTGCTGGATGATCCCTGCAAGGAACAAATCTTCCATCCTCCGCTTTGTGGCTACTCGAATGCTTGGGAGGGTGCGGACACAAAGCCAGGGTTTTGGAGCAGAGCTGGCGACGTGGGCTCCTGGTGACAGGCAGTGTGCAGAGCTGTGCCTGGGGTGATCCGTGGCACCAGCTGTGTCCCTGCCAAGGCACTGGGGAAGGATGCTCTGCCATGTCGGAACTACATGCCAAGACCAAAGGGACCAGGAGACACAGAAGAGCCTGGGCCGGGGGAGGGGGGGGGGAAAAAAACCGCCGTGCTGGGAGGGCTGCAGGTGCTAGCCAGGGAGCTGGGCAAGTGTGCTGGGTGCTGATTGTGGGGCAGAGGGATGGTGCTGGATGCTCAGGGTGGCTCTGGGCGGAGGATCTGGGATGTGAGCAGTATTGTTGGGCAATGGGTCTGAGTGCAGGATGGTGATGCTGGGCCAGTGCTCTGGTGCTGTGTCTGGGGGGGTGCTCCTGTGCATAACCAAACAGTGATGCTGGGTACTTGGCATCAGTGCTAGTCATGAGCTGCTGTCCTCTGCGACACTGAACAGGCCAACCCAGGACCACTGGAAAAGGCTGGGGGTGGGGTGTGTGTGTGTGGGGTGTATGTGTGCAGTGCCAGACCTGTTTAGGGCTGCTGCCCAGGCATCATGCAGAGCCTTGGGGGGTTTCCTGAGTGCTGGGAAGGTCCGTCAGTACAGGGTGACGTCTGCTGGCTTCATGAGGCCAGAACAGCCATGGGGCTGGAGGGCACCAGCACGGGCTCTGCCGCTCTGGCCGAGGGCTCCAGGCAACTGGCAGCTCTGGGGCTGGGACTGTGAATGCTGGTTGTGACCCTCGGTGCCTTGCCAGCCCTCCCAGAGTCACTGTGATTCCTCTGCCTCCTCTGGCCTTTTCCCTTTGGCAAACGACATGTTTTTCCTGCCATTCTCAATGCAGCGGAAATTGCTGATTTGTGACAATAGCACCTTAACTCGTTTGGCTGTCCAGGAAGCAGGCGGCAGCTCTGCAGAGCAGCGCAGGGACAAGCCAGCTTGGGGCAGCGGGGGGGCCTTAGGGACACTGGGAAGGTGCTGGTGGGTGTGATGGTCCCTGCTTTCCCTCTCCACGAGCCATTGAGAACAGAGGAAGAGCCTGAGGGACAATCCTGCTTATTCCCACCCTGGCTGGACAGACAGATAGACATCGAGCAAAACCTCTTTCTTCTGCAGAAAAAGGAGCTGGGCAGGGCCAAACAGGTCAAGGGACATTTTTATCCACTGCTCTTTCGGGAATCACACAAAAGCATCTCCAATGCTGGGACGCAGCCACAGGCTGTGACCCCTCTAAAACCTCTGAGGAAGAGTCTTGGGCTGTGGTCTTGGGTAGCTGGGGATTTACTACCAGCCTGGTGAGGTCAAGCCCCTCATGATGTCCCTGCAGCAAGGCCCACTGGTTCTGCCTCCCCTCTCACCAGGTATCGTCGCTGGGAGTCACCACCTTCAGCCTCTGCGCTCTGGGCATCGACAGGTTCCATGCAGCCACCAGCCCCCAGGCCAATGCCCGGCCCATCGAGCAGTGCCAGTCCATCATTGCCAAGCTGGCCGTCATCTGGGTGGGCTCCATGACGCTGTCAGTGCCAGAGATCCTGCTCTGGCAGCTGGCACAGGACACATCTCCCGTGTCTGGCGTGGTGACGGAGTATTGCACCATGAAGCCCTCATCCAACCTGCCCGAGTCTGTCTACTCGCTAGTGCTCACCTACCAAAACGCTCGGATGTGGTGGTACTTCGGTTGTTACTTCTGCTTGCCCATCCTCTTCACTGTCAGCTGCCAGCTGGTGACCCGGAGGATCAGTGGCACCGAGAAGACCGAGTGTCGAGGCACCAAGCATAGCCAATGCGAGCGTCACTTGAATTGCACCATCATTGGACTGACCATCATCTATGGGCTCTGCACCACCCCTGAGAATGTCTGCAACATCGTGGTAGCCTACATGTCCCCTGACATGTCCAAGCAGACCTTGGACTTGCTCAACCTCATCAACCAGTTCTTCCTATTCTTCAAGTGCTCAGTGACGCCTGTCCTGCTCCTGTGCCTCTGCAGACCTCTGGGCCAGGCTTTCATGGACTGCTGCTGCTGCTGCTGCGAGGGCTGCAGCCCTGACTCTGCCTCCAGCGAGGACAGCGCTGACAGCAAGCTCAAAACGGAGATGTCCTCCTCTATCTTCTTCGACAAGCCCCGGGAGTCCCCTCCACCCCTCCTGGCCCTTGGCACACCTTGCTAAGTGCCCCTGGGGAGCCGTAGAGATCGATCCACCACCTCCTCCCAAGACGAAACGTTGTTTTGCCATTAGAGCCCGTGTCTGGACGTGGAGAAAGCAGAAGAGACAGCTCAGGGGGCTGTGCCATGGGCTTCAAACCCCATGTGGGGCAAGTGGGGCTTGAAACCCCGGTCTCTGCAGCTACATTGGTGGCCTTCTTGCCTCTGCCCAAAGGCCAGCAAGGACATCAGCACCTTCCCATCCTGGCTGCCTGGCCAGGCTCAGAAGGGTTGCTGCTCTGGAGATGGAGTTGTGCCAGAAAGGTCCCATCTGAACCTAGGGAGGGTTTCCATGGTGGCTTGAAGAGGATATAGCAAACACGAACTGCCCTCATCCTGTGCCATTCCGTCCTGCCAGCCCCCTCCGCAGTAGGAGAAGGTCCCAGTGACCACATCCCATCGGATCCAAGCAGTGCCCTGTAAGAGCTCAATAAATCAGTAACCTAGAGCATGTCGTGCATGCAGCCATCTGGCACTGCTGAGTAGAGCCTTGGGGCTTGGATGGCTCTTTCCTAAAACCTGGGGGTTCTGAGGTGGGCATGGGCAGCTGGGGGGGGGGGCCTAAAGGCAGGAAAGCAGTTGGGCCAGGGCAGGCAGCATCTAAGGTCGATGGGGAACAAGACCCCAGCCCCTCTGTCCCCTTGCTGAGCAAGACAGTGCCAAGCCAGCCCCTGGGAGAGTCCCCTCCAAAGCACTGAGCTTGGGGTGGCATGTAGGACATGAACTGGTCCCAGCACTGAGCTGAGGTGCTCTGCAGCCTGTGGGGCAGCTGGTTCCTCATCTGCACCACGCAAGACCAGGTGCTGCTGCTGCATGGTGCTGCCGTGCAGTGCTGGGGTGGCCAGGCAGGACCACCACCCCCAGCACCCCTTGGGAAGCCAACAGAGTGAGCACATTTCATGCGAACAGCTTTGCGCAGGGCTCCTGGCCTCCATCCACCTGCCCATCGCAGGTACAAAAGCATCCCAGGATGATGGTCTCAGGGCATCAGGGTTTCTAAGCCCCACATCCACCCCATGCCCAAGGCTCCTGCATCTGTGGAGAGCTTCAGGGAGCAGCCCAGGCGGTGGGATCAGGCTGAGGGCAGGCTGGCCATGTTGGCCCCGTCCGTCAGAGCTGTTAAAGCTCCTTGTCCTGCCGCTGGCGCCTGCCCCAGCCCGCAAATGCTGGGGCGAGGGAGATGGTTGCTATGGCTGGATGAATTGTGAGGGGCTCACTGCAGGCTTTGTGCGGCATCGACACCCACTGGGCTTTGCTTTCACAGCCTCGTTTCCAGGGAAACAAAAGCCCCAGTTTTCTTCAGAGAGGACAAAAGTGGGTTTTTCCTTTCCTCCCCTCCCTGCCACCACTGGGCCCTGCAGCTCGGGAGCTGCCAGGAATAAGATGGGTCTCATCCTGGTGCAGGGATGGAGGGGGGGTGCAGAGCCCAGGCTGCCTGCCATGCCCTCACCCCTTTGCTTCTCCCCAGGGTGAGTGGGGTCCCTGTGGCTTTGGTGACGGTGGGAGGAAGGGCGCGGGGGCAGCTCTCATGCAAGCTGTCCGCACCGCTCCATCCTGAGCCTGGGCCAAGGGCAAACAAAGCCAGGCTTGTTGCTGCGGCCAGCAGGGCTGGATGTGTGTGTGGGAGAGCTGGGCGGGGGGCAGGGAGGACGCAGGCAGCAGCATCATCTCAGGCTGTTGGCAACACATGGCCTCGAGCAGGCAGAGCACCCCACGGACCCATCAGAGCCAGCTCCAGCACCTCTTGGGTGAGCGCGATCACATCGCACGGCTCCAGGGCTGCCTGGGGGACAGGGACCACTGCCCTGCGCTCCAAGGCACAGGTGCAGTCTCCGGGAGGGATGGGGGCGGCAATGGCAAGGAAGCAACGCGACTGTAACCACACCCCCCAACGCAAAATTGTTAATTTATTATTAGGAGGCAAAAAAATTGTACAATTACAAGAATCATTTACCAACAGAGGTAAAATCTGAGCCAAAATACCTCTTAAAAAAAAAAAAGGAGGGGCTGGAGGGGGACAAAACTTTACAAGGCGTTAAATTAAAAAAAAAAAGAAAA